TTTTTTTGTTAGCTCAGTAACTGTGTGACCTGAGCAAGTGGCTCTGTCTCTCTGTGCCTCAGTTGTAAAATAGGGACATAATATGTGTGCGTACGAACAAATAAACTTTAGCGTGTAGGCAAATTTGCATGAATACAATTTGCCTACACGCTAAAATTTATTTGTAACCCCAAAATCATTCAGGGACATGCACACAGCAGCAAAAAATTTGAGTCACCCAACAGGCATGCTCCCAGGTGAGGCTGAACAAGGCAACACCTGGGCATCTTGTAAATCCGTGTCCTTTCGCTGTCTATTTAGTGTCACATTTCTTGCATTTTTGTGTTTTTTCTTGGTGATTTTGCTGTTTAAAATGCCCCCTAGGCTTTGTGCTGAAGCCTATTGCTAAACACAAGAAGGCTTCGATGTGCCTTAGGGAGAAAATAAATGAGTTAGATAAGCTTCCTTCAGGCATGAGTTACAGTGCTATTGGCTATGTGTTCAAAGTTAATGAATCAACAATATATATTACATAAGGTATTTTTAAACAGAAACATTCACAAAGGTTATTATGTAGCGACTGGTTGACAAAAATGTGACCAGTCTTGCAGGAACCTAAACTCGAAGTATTTCCCTTAGGAGGAATGGCTCGGTATTTACCAGTTCAGCGTTTGCTGTGACTTCATACAACACAATGATTAGGAATAATGAGATTCAACTGCATATCATCTATCTATTTATCTCATATCGTATCGTATAAATATGACTGCTAAGAAGGTTCTGGTTAAAGGTCCAGGGTGGGATTTGGGAACCTCACCTGCCTTTTCCCCCACCCCTCCTCCCCAAGGCAGCTTCTAAAAGAGAGGCCCTGGGGCAGCCAAGGTTACAGACGGAAAACCACCAGTCTAGCTGTTTTCCCAGTTCTCTTCCTGCTCTAACAGTCTGGATTGTACAACAGGGTATGGATATCTAGAAGCAAAAGCTCTGAATGCAATTCCAAGGAGTGAAGCCACTGGGGTTAAGCCAAGCTCCCCACACCCTTCTTAGAGCTGCGAGAGCTACTCTGGTAGCTTTGTGGTATAGAAAAGGCACCTCTTCCTCAAGACCCTTGTCTGCCACCTGCTGGAACGCTGCAATATTGCAAGTTTATGATGTCTGCTGTGTGAATCGTGTGCCCTCAGCCATGGTGACCCTGGGCAGTGCTTCACACGCACAGCCTTTTGAGGTGCATTCTGCTGACACCCTCCCCCTGCCAGGATGGGAACTCACAAGCCTTCCTTTTCTCCTTCCAGGAGCGCCTTCAACAGGGGTTTGTTGAGAGGGATGGTCTGAAGGATGCTGCCATCTGAGCTCACGTAGCCGATGGCCCACTGCCCCAGGCGAGTGCAACTGGGCCGGAAGATGTAGCTGGAAGAAGAAGCAGGTAGGAGGAGGATGGGGGGAAGGAGTGGTCACCACTGTCCCCTCTGGGACCTCTCAGCCCTTCACACTGTTGAGAATCCAGGTGTCTAAGTCCTCGCCCCCTTACGACACCCAGCTTCCCACCTTTTAGGCAGTGAGGCATTAGACTCTGTCTGCCCTACATAGAGGGAATATTGTTTTCACTTGCTTGGCTCCACTTCCTCCTTCACTGGGGTTTAGACAAGGCTGATTTTGGCTTTGCCAATCAGTGCATTTCAGGACTGCTGACCACAGTGATGGGAGTCAGCCCTGGGGCTTTTGCTGGAAGACCCAGCAAGGTACCCTCCATTAATACAGAGGTAGCTAAGCCGGTAGGGTCTACAGCTGGAGGTCCTAGAAACCACTGCCACCTTGGGGAGAGACCATGTCTGCGAAAGGAGCTGCCAGAGCAGAGCAGAGCAGAGATGGGATAGACAGAAACTGATGCCTGAAACAATAGCATGTGAGTACCTGGATTCAGCTTTGCCTAAACCTACATAACATCTGGTCTTTTCACTACGGGAATTAATTCATCCCTTTTACTTTCCCTTCAAACCAGTTTGCAGTGTAACTGGAAAAGTGCCAATACACTTGCTGTCCTGGAGGTCCTGCACCTCAGCCCTGCAAAGACTCACGAATCGGACCTCCTATTCCCTTAACCTCTTCGTATTCCAGGGATCTCAGCCCCTCCATTCTTAACCCTCTAGGGGAACCAACAGCTCGAAACTCCTGGCTTGAATACTTTTAGGACTCAGGTGTCTGGTTCCCAGTTTCCTACCCCGAGCAGGTGGGGGGTCATATTAAAAATATTTAATAGATAGCACAGCATGGGCTCTGACCTATCAGAAATGGGTCTTATCCTGGGGCAGGGTCTTCAGGCCCCCTGCCAGACCACGTACTGTCCCTTTAGCTACTGGACTGTAGGAAGGTCCAGGAGGTCCCGGGAGAAGAGGTGGGGTGGCAGAGGGCACTCAGCGTCCTACCTCCACGCTCTGGGGCCCCAGGTACCTCAGCCCTTCAGCTCTTACTCTCTCTGAAGGATGCCTGGGTTTCTACTACCGCCCAGTCCAGGACCCAGAGCCCTGACCCCCTGGCAAGCTCCTCCTCCTGAGGCCTGGCTCCTTACCTGCCTGGCTTGTCCCTGCAGGCCTGCAGACGTGCTCGGACCTCATCATACGTGAGGAAGGCCATGTACCCTGGGTGGTTGACTGCCAGGAGCTGCCAGTTCTTGAGGAGTGTTGGCCATGGCTGGAGCCGGGTGATGCTTGGGTCAGGGAGAGGCCGAGGAAGCAGCTGCCCTCCTAGTGCTTCCCAGGGTCCAAGAACCCAGCCACCTCACTTACACTCACGGTGGGCCTCAGGGATCTCTCTTTTTTCACAGAAGACTCCAGACCCTTATTCCCCAGGACCCAGGAATCCAGGCCCCCAACCCCTCCTCCCTCAGAACCAGGAGTCCAGGTCCCCACCCTCTCCTTCCCTCACAACCCGAGTCTGGGCCCTCAACCTTGGCCTTCCCTGACCTGGAAGAGCCTGGTGAAGATGTCAAACTCAAAGATGGACACATGGCCACTGCAGGTGAGGTCGATGGTGGAGCGCAAGGCTTGGGCTGTGGGGCCTGACTCCACGGGGTGGCAGGTGCACAAGACAGACTCAAACTCAGGCCAGCTCAGCACACACCTAGGTGGAGGGAGGCAGAGGGATGTAGGTAAGGCCTCTGGGAGCCTAGGAGGGGAGGACCTCTAGAAAGGAGGCAGCTGGGGGCCTGGACTCCTGGGTCTGAGGGAGGAGGGGCTCGGGGCCTGGACTCCTAGGTTCCTGAGCAGGGGCAGGATAAGGCTCCAAGGGGCTGAGGGGCCCTGGGGACAGGTGCTCACTCACCGGGCTCCACAGTGTTCCCTCCAGAAGGTATGGGCTGGAGCCTTGGTGAGTTGGTACGTGTGTCCACAGTACTTCCCCTCGGGAAAAAGTGCATTGAGCTCCGCATACATGTGGCTGAAGATAAGGGCCAGCTTGGCCAGCTGTCTCCTGTGGGGATGGGATCTGAGGATATGGCTGAATCCTGCGGCGCCCTCTGTGTGGAACACCCACAGGCTCCAGACTTCCATGCAGCAGCAGTGCAGGGTAAAAGTCTATGCCAACACTGCCTGATGCAGCCCTGACACCTCCCCTCTCAGGACCTCAGTCTATTCCTCTGTGAAGGAAAGGAGGCGTCGCCCATATCCTCATCCTTCAGCACATAGGCTCCAGTCTCTTCCTGAGGACCATGGGGGCTGGAGGAGAAGCCTTGCCTGGTCGGGTGTGGGGTCCATCAGCACTAGGGCACTTAGGGTGGTCTGCATGCAGGTCTTGCTCGGAGCCTTCCTCTTAGTTTGAGCAGCACTGGGGGGCAGGCCCCCATGCTTTCTCCTGGCAGCTACCGCTCTGAGATACTGATCAGGATGTGGGCAACAATGGAGGGTAGGTAGCTCTGACACTTAGCTATGTGATTTTTGGCACCTTCCTTTATTTTCCCCCAAGTCTCAGTCTCCTCAACTGTGAAATGGGCATAAGTACAGGGTTAAGTATAGCTTCTGCCTCACACCCGGCATACAGTTGATACTCAGTGCATGTTAATTATTATTACTGTTCTTATTTTATATTAATAACCTCCTTGGGCCTGGCTTGTAGGGTTCTCGAAACCTTCTATAGGGCCACCCCTGACAGCTTCTAAGTACCCACGCTTCCTAGAGTCTAACATGTAGCCACTATCCACCTGTGGCTGGTCCAAAGTGAGATGTGCTCTAAATGGGAAATCCTCACAAGATTTCAGAAACTTAGTGCAAAAGGAGAAAAAAATGTTAATGATCTCATTAATCATTGCTTTATACTGGTTACAAATTGAGGTGATAATATTTTGGATACAGTGAGTGAAAGAAAATGTTATCAAAACTCATCTCACCTGTTAAAAAAATCTTTTTGTAATGTGTCTACTAGAAAATGAAAAACTACATATGTGGCTTGCATTAGGTTTTAGTAGAGAGTGCTGCTCTAGAATCTTCTTCAAATAATTGCTAGGCCCCTGGTGGCCCTAGAACAGAGGTCGGCAAACTGTGGCTCGCGAGCCACATGCGGCTCTTTGGGTACGTTCCATCTCAAAAGTTTGCCAACGCCTGGAAGAGCCAATCCTGTCCCTCACAACAATTTAAAAATTATTTGAGAGCCATAAATATATTTTTACATAATCACCATTATGTGACTAATATCCTTTAAAAATTTTATACATGAAACTATGATAGTTTTATTTTCATTTTCAATTTTACTTCAGAGACACATGTACGTACCCATGTGGCTCGCGAGCTGCAGTTTGCCGACCCCTGCTCTAGACTACCTACTTAGACTCTCATTAAGCCCCTAAGCTTCTTAGCTTCTAAAACCCACTGAATCTAGAACAGTGGTTCTCAGAGGAGTTACACTACCCTTCTAAGGAGCTTCTAGAAATTTACTGATCATAGCGATTGGGGCGTGGGAAGTCTAGAACGTGGGGGACAATCCCCTCCAGCAAAATTTGCCCACATCCACTCAACTTTCCAGGGTCCCATCAGACATTCATGAAGGTGGAAAATCTATTTTTAATGATTTGAGGCTAGAACGCAATTCCATTTTTCAAAAGCATTTTTGCACATTTAAAATTTATACTGAATTTTACAGAAACTCAACTCCTATAATATCAAGGGAAGACTGATTCAGCAACGGTTCTCCCTACATGCACGAGTGTCTGATTCGTCAGTTCTGCCTTGCAGAATAATTATGGTTGTGCCTTAGCATTTCCATTCGAAATCTAGAAACAGTCCTTTGATCACTCCCTTATAATACAGTTTGGGCATTATAGTGATTGAAAAAATATGAGTAGGTAGGTTATTTACATTCGGCATTTCATTTCAGGGTTAATTTAAGGAGACACTACAAAATATTTGCTGTAAAGAAGGGGCGTGTGGCATGCCTGGGTTAAAAGCCACTCGGCCAGACCTTGTTGGCTGTAGGCCTCCAACCTCCTTGTCTGCCTCTGTCACTCATCAGCCCCCTTTCCCAGAGTTCAGAACCAGAGCAGGCACCCTGCAGACAAGCCCTACAGAGATCCGGAGCTAGTTGTTCCTCAGGAACTCAAGACCAGGGGCGTCCCTGGAGATGTCAATCCACCCCTCCTCCTGCAGGAAGCGCTCTGAGGTCCTCACATTCTCAGAGCGTGTGCCTAAGGCATCTGGGAGAGTGGGGCAGTGGGAAGCAGCCTACTGAGTGGCCAAGAAAGAGGGCAAATGGGGGCCTGAGGGCAAAGGTGTGTGTTCAAGGAAGGAGAGAACTGCGTGGCATAGTTTCCCAGGTTCCCACAGGGAGGAGGGGTTGGGATCTGGACTCCTAGGTCCTGAGAAAGCAGGGATCTGGGGCCTAGACTCTTGGGTCTGAGGGAGGAGGGGTTGGGACATCACCTGGGCCTCCTTCGTGATCCCACCTTTGTTCTGAGCAAAGGTGTCCGCTCACCTGAGTAAGGAGCCCTCCCGGAAGAGCTCGTCGTTGGCACTCCTTAGGCCCGGCGGTGGCAGCATTGCTGCCACCTGCTTGCTCTTGGCCTCCAGGTTGGTGAGATAGACGACAAGAAAGTCCCTGGCACCCCCGGAAGCCTCGGGAACGCCTCCGCTGGCCGCCCGCCGGGCGTGGGCCACCTTTCGCAGCAGCTGCGCGGTGCGGGGCAGCAGGTCTCGCAGCGAAGGGGGACTAGAGGTAAGCCGAGGGTCTCCGCATTGCTCCTCCAGGCGCTGCAGTAGCCTCACCGCCCGGCCGAGCGCGCGGAGCTCTTCACCCTGCCGCCCTCGTGGGGCCGC